GGGGTCCCACTGGTATGTGGGGTGGGATCATGGCGGGGTTTGGCTTGGGATTATGGTGGGGCTTGGGGTGGGGTCCCCATGGGGTTTGGGGTGGGGTCCACATGGGGTTGGGATGGGATCTCCATGGGGTTTGGGGTGGGATCGTGGCCCCATTCCCTGAATGACCCCAATGGCCCTATTTCCCTGAATGACCCCAATGACCCAAATGCCCCCGTTCCCCTGCATGGCCCCAATGACCCCGATGGCCCCATTCCCCTGGATGACCCCAATGGCCCCATTCCCCTGGATGACCCCAATGGCCCCATTCCCCTGGATGACCCCAATGGCCCCATTCCCCCAATGACCCCAGTGACCCCATTCCCCCGGATGACCCCGATTCCCCGGATGACCCCGATTCCCTGGATGACCCCCAATGACCCCGCTGACCCCGCTGCCGTCCCCGCGCAGGCTGGCGGGCGCCGGGGGCCGTAAGAAGGTGTTCCGCCTCAGCGACGTGCTGAAGCCGCTCAGCGAGGTGCAGGTGGAGAAGCTGAAGCTCGGCGCCGTGCGCCGCATCCTGCGCTCCGAGAGGGCCGTGGCGGCCAGCGGCGCCGCCCAGGTACGGGCACGCACCTGGGCACAGCTGGGGGACACCTGGGGACAGCTGGGATAACCCTGGGGACAGCTGGGATAACCCTGGGGACAGCTGGGACAGCTGGGATAACCCTGGGGACAGCTGGGATAACCCTGGGGACAGCTGGGATAATCCGGGGACACCTGGGCACAGCTGGGATAACCCTGGGGACAGCTGGGTACAGCTGGGGACACCTGGGGACAGCTGGGGTACAACTGGGATACAGCTGGGCACATCTGGGATAACCCTGGGGACAGCTGGGATAGCCCTGGGGACACCTGGGGTACGGCTGGGATACACCTGGGCACAGCTGGGATAGCCCTGGGGACACCTGGGCACAGCTGGGATAGCCCTGGGGACACCTGGGCACAGCTGGGATACACCTGGGCACAGCTGGGATAACCCTGGGGACACCTGGAATACAGCTGGGCACACCCAGAACACACCTGGAACACACCTGGGGTAACCCTGGGATAACCCTGGGCACACCTGGGGTAACCCTGGGCGCACCTGGGATAACCCTGGGATACTCCCAGAATTCCCCTGGAAATACCCCCAGGGAACCCTTGAGTGACCATTGAGTGACCCTTGAGTGACCATTGAGTGACCACGCAGTGACCACGCAGTGACCACGCAGTGACCGGGTGTCCCGGCAGGCCCGAGTGAAGATCCTGGCCTCGCTGGTGACGCAGTTCCAGTGACCCTTGAGTGACCATTAATTAATCCCTTGATTAACCATTGAGTGACCATTGAGTGACCACTGAGAGACCACGGAGTGACCACTGAGTGCCCCGGGTGTCCCGTAGGCCCGAGTGAAGATCCTGGCCTCGCTGCTGACTCTGTTCCACTGACCTTGAGTGACCCTTGACTCATCCCTGAGTAACCCTTGATTAACCATTGAGTGACCATTGACTGACCACTGAGTGGCCACGGAGTGACCACTGAGTGCCCCGGGTGTCCCCGCAGGCCCGAGTGAAGATCCTGGCCTCGCTGGGGGCTGGCGTTGGGAACACCAGGGACGGGATGAGGACACCACAGTTGGGTTGGTGCCATTGGGATGGGGACACCAGGGTTGGGTTGGGGACACCAGGGTTGGGTTGGTGCCACCAGGACTTGGACAGTATCTCCAGGTTGAGGAGAGTGCCACCAGGTGTAGCACAATGCCACCAGGTCTAGGGCAGTGCCACCAGGTGTAGGACAGTGCCACCAGGTGTAGCACAGTGCCACCAGGACAGTGTCACCAGGTCTAGGGCAATGCCACCAGGCGTAGGGCAGTGCCACCAGGACGGTGTCCCCAGGGGTGGCACAGACCCGTTAGGGCCCAGCTGGTGCCACCAGCGCCAAAGGTGACATGGGGTGGGTGCCACCAGGAGACACCTGGAGGTGCCACCTGGAGGCGACACGGGGGAGGTGACACCTGGAGATGACACATGGTGGTGACATGAGGAGACACATGGATGTTACATGGGGGAGGTGCCACCAGGAGACATCTGGAGGTGACGCGGGGGAGGTGACACCTGGAGATGACACACGGAGGTGACACAAGGAGAGACACGGAGGTGACATGGCAGAGGCGTCACCAGGAGACACCTGGAGGTGACACGGGGGAGGTGACACCAGGAGATGACACACGGAGGTGCCATGGGGGAGGTGACATGGGGGAGATGACCTGAGGTGCCACCAGGAGGTGACACGGGGCAGGTGCCACCAGGAGCCACCCGGCGGTGCCACGCGGAGGTGCCACGGGGCGGGTGCCAGCCCGAGGTGCCAGCCGAGGTGCGCGGTGTCCCCTCAGAGCCGCACGTACCTGGGCATGTCCACGCTGCGGGAGCTGATCTCCTCAAGTAGGTAGCGCGGGGGAGGTGACACGGGGCAGGTGCCACCAGGAGACACCTGGAGGAGACACAAAGGTGCCACCAGGAGATGACACGGGGGAGGTGACACGGGGCAGGTGCCACCAGGAGACACCTGGAGGAGACACAAAGGTGCCACCAGGAGATGACACGGGGGAGGTGACACGGGGCAGGTGCCACCAGGAGACACCCGGCGGTGCCACGCGGAGGCGCCGCGGGGCGGGTGCCACCCCGAGGTGCCAGCCGAGGTGCGCGGTGTCCCCTCAGAGCCGCACGTACCTGGGCATGTCCACGCTGCGGGAGCTGATCTTCAGGCGCCCGTCGCGGCAGTTCCAGTACCTGCACGTGCTGCTGGACCTCAGCTCCCACGAGAAGGACAAGGTGGGGACAGCGGGGGTCCTGAGGGGAATTTGGGAGAATTTGGGGAGGTTTGGGGGGATCCCAAGGAGGTTTGAGGGGATTTTGGGGAGGTTTGAAGGAGGTTTGGGGAAATTAGGGAGGTTTGAGGGGATTTTGGGGAGGTTTGAAGGAGGTTTGGGGGAATTGGGGAGGTTTTGAGGGGATTTTGGGGAGGTTTGAAGGAGGTTTGGGGGAATTGGGGAGGTTTTGAGGGGATTTTGGGGAGGTTTGAAGGAGGTTTGGGGGAATTGGGGAGGTTTTGAGGGGATTTTGGGGAGGTTTGAAGGAGGTTTGGGGGAATTGGGGAGGTTTTGAGGGGATTTTGGGGAGGTTTGGGGGGGGTCCCAAGGAGGTTTGGGGGGATTCTGGGGGAATTTGTCATCCTCCTCTTCCATCTCTGCAGGGCGAGGGCCCGGCCCCGCTCCTGTCCCTCTTCTTCTACGTGGCCACGGACGGGCAGGGCACGCTGCGGCCGGTGCTGGAGAACGGCACGCGGCTGGCGGCCGTGGCGGGCACGGCGCAGGAGCTCGGCGACTTCACCCTCACCTTCCTGCCCCCCACGGGCGAGGGCGGGCCCAAGTACGCCAGGTGAGTGTCTGGGCCGCAGCCCCCAAACCCACCGTGTCCCCACCGCGTCCCCATCGCTGACTCTGTTGTCCTCCCCCTCAGTTACAACTTCCTGGCCGCGGCACTGCCGGGGCTGCACCGCCTCACCGACCTGGTGCGGCACAGCCTCCGCGAGAGCTCCGTGTTCTCCCCGCCGGGCCGGCCCCGCCGCCGCTTCTTCGGGGTGTCCAGCGCTGGGGGGCTGCCCGGGGAGCCCCCGCGGGGGCAGCTGCTGCTGCACCAGGTGACGCTGGAGCCGCCGGCGGCGCTGGAGGTGACGCTGGAGTCGGGCAGCGCGAGACACATGGATGTTACATGGGGGAGGTGCCACCAGGAGACATCTGGAGGTGACGCGGGGGAGGTGACACCTGGAGATGACACACGGAGGTGACACAAGGAGAGACACGGAGGTGACATGGCAGAGGCGTCACCATGAGACACCTGGAGGTGACACGGGGGAGGTGACACCAGGAGATGACACACGGAGGTGCCATGGGGGAGGTGACATGGGGGAGATGACCTGAGGTGACACCAGGAGGTGACACGGGGCAGGTGCCACCAGGAGACACCTGGAGGAGACACAAAGGTGCCACCAGGAGATGACACGGGGGAGGTGACACGGGGCAGGTGCCACCAGGAGACACCCGGCGGTGCCACGCGGAGGTGCCACGGGGCGGGTGCCAGCCCGAGGTGCCAGCCGAGGTGCGCGGTGTCCCCTCAGAGCCGCACGTACCTGGGCATGTCCACGCTGCGGGAGCTGATCTTCAGGCGCCCGTCGCGGCAGTTCCAGTACCTGCACGTGCTGCTGGACCTCAGCTCCCACGAGAAGGACAAGGTGGGGACAGCGGGGGTCCTGAGGGGAATTTGGGAGAATTTGGGGAGGTTTGGGGGGATCCCAAGGAGGTTTGAGGGGATTTTGGGG